TACCATGACTTGCCACGGTCTCCAATCCTCCTCCTTTCTCATCTGGGCTTGGGACCGGCCATGGCGGAGTTACAATAAAAGTTTTTTTATTATTTCACTGCATTGCTGGAGATGCTTGGTGCAGTACAAGCATTACACCTGGATCGAATAAATCCGTGTCCACTGTTTAGTCGTTTCGATGTCATGTCAGTTCTAACCACATCTTTCTCTTTATTGGAGGTCTTCCTGGATGTCGCGTGTCATGAAGTTTTGCGTCCATCACTCTTTTTGCAAGGCGCCTATACTCCATTCGTTGGCAATATTGTCCCCTTATTGGATGCCTTGTTTACAGCCAGTCGTTCCCATTGGTTGGAATTCTTAGTCTCTTTTTTATGACAGCATTTCACACCAGATCCTACCACTTAACTCCTAATATTTCATTTTTGTCGCTACCAGTTTTGTGCTTTCAGCATTGCTAGTACTGCTTTCTCCAGGCCACTGAACAATATATTAATAATGTCAGCCCTGTATTTCCGTAACTTGGTGTTACTGCCAACGTAGTTGTCTTTCCATCTGTTGAATAACTTCTTGCTCACTGCAATTGCTGACGCGCAGAATCTCTTTACTTCGTTTGTCGTTCATCTGTATGTAGCCAGTGCAGCTGTTCTGGTACTTCTTCCACAACTTCTGTGCCAAGGGTCAGGCAGTCATTAGTCTAGGTTCCTTTCAGGGTTTTCCTTTTTTCAGTCATGCTAATTTTGCGAAAGTATAAACATACTTCAGGTCTTTTTTTCTCCTCATTTTGTCGTCCGGAGAAATGCAGTTGTGAACTTCATCTGCATTCGTCTTGCTCACTTTGGAATTTGCAATCTAGTTATGTTTATTTATGTTGAACTGTGTATTTTATTTTGTTTCAGTTATTTTTAAAGGGAGTTGTTAGTTTTTCGGTGCGACATACCTCGTTGAACACGAAGTACATTTTCAGTAGACTGTTCTTTACATCCGCATGATATTTTATTGTCATCCGTTCCCGATTCTTTGCTTGTAATTTTTCATGGGTTTTTAAAGAAATGAATGAATGTCAATTTCAAAACGCTGATGAATAAAGTTTTTGCCATATCAATTAGTAAATTATATTCAGTTTCAATGTAGGTTTACTGAGCTGGAACAAGCATGACTTCGAGCGGTCGTACGAAGACCTCGTCCGATACCTTCCGTACACAGAAGAATGGACGACCGACGACAAGTTCATTTTTTCGCAGGCGTTTGCGTTGCATGGAAAGTTTTTCGACAAAATTCAAAAGATGGTGAGTTACGGTGAAGATTGGTCGACTAATGGAGAATGAAATTAAAGTTTCCTGTTTGAGCAAGATCACCCATCCTTCGTTTAACGTACGTGAAATTCAGAGAGTTTAATTTGAGCACTTGCGGTTCGCACAAATATTTCGCATGATTTTACTGCCTGGATCAGTACGTTGTTCATAACCAGCAGGCTGATATCTGTGATGTTTCGCGAAAGTATTAAGGGAAGCCTCTCCGGAGAAGTCATGAGTGAAGGTCAAATTGTTGCTTTAACCGGCGAATTGTTTGTGATCCATTTATGCACTGGACTGGCCCAAATATTATGGATACCTGAACTAAACCAAAAAGCAGCAGGCGGAAGCGTGCGCTGTGAAAACGTGCTCGGTGTGACTATTCTTTCATATGTTGAAAAGACAGCATAAACGCTGGTTGGCTTAACGCGGTGCATATTACTGAATTGTCAGACGATAAACCACCATCTTTTCGGTTCGATCTTCAGCATTAAATCTGATTTTTGCTTGTTGTTTTCATCGGCAACAGCTGGAACGTTTGGAAAAATGAGAAAGTTTGTAACCGTCTGAATTTCGGTCTTCCTCTCACATGATTTTTCCGTTTCTTGTGGCCTTCTTTTAATGAAGTTAATGGCGGTCCGT